TTCTGGGGCATCTGATCACGCAAATTTCTCTAGGGTCCTTTTTAGACCATCTAGTGGAAAAGTAGTATTAACTGGAAATACGACAAGAGACAATTTTAAAAAAATAGCTCAGAGACTTCTTTTAGGCTTCAGGATTTTCTTCTAGTAAATCTACTACTGGGGGAGACGTGTTACTTCCTCTGAAGAAAAGGTATAACGAAAACATTTTTTTCTCTCTAAACAAATCACAGTTCGGATTTGAAACGCTGCCAAACATGGTACACACAACCCGTTACGGCTAACCGATATACCACGAACCCGCGAAACGTCAATTCAGAAAGAAGAGGTGAAGCGAAGCATTGATCGGCCGGCGTTTAATGCAGCGCTGGCTGTGCTGATTTGAGGCGGCACAGGCATGCGCCGAAAGCCACGACGCGGAACGCGAGGGCGCGCTTGGGTTGGCATTTCCGCACCGCGGCGCAGCTGGACCACATAGCCCGGGCAGCAGCGGCGGAACTCGAATCGATGCGGGCGACTCGCCACAGCGTTCCGGCTGCGCGCGGCAAGAGCAGGCGTGCGCGGACCGTGGGTGGAGATGGGAGTAGGGCGTGAACGCACGGAGGGGGAGGGAATTAAGAATTGGAACATATCGTAGCTACCACCAAAGCAAACTTTTTGTCCTTGCGTTCGACTTCAGAAACTTGTTTGTAGAAGGCGGCTCCACACATGCGGCAATTCGCCGAATTCCGAGGAGTTTGGAACGGGTTGCTTGGATTTTGTTCGAACGCCGAAAGTTGGGTATTCGCCCTACCCACGCGTGTCGGTCTTTAAGCGTCAAGGGAGCGAAACATTCGCCGACCAACATCAGCTGTTGGGATTCGACGAGCTGCTGCGCGAAATGCTGAATGTGGTGGAAGCCGCCTTAATCAGATTGTCTTTACGAATCCTTACTTTCACGTTATTGGTATTTTGAGAAATATGGGATTGCAACGAAAGCTTGTTCGGCTCATTCTGAAGCGGTGTTAGCAGCAAGCGCTTGAGCCTTAAGATGACACCATGTAGAATATTCAAGTAT